TGGATAAGAATATTAAAATCATTTTTTAGTACTTGATGCAGTTACTAACAAGTTTATATAAATCAGTATATTTGGCTTCACCCCTTCCTTGAGGAAACCATCTTTAATCATTTGTTTTTAATTCTAGTGATTATTTTCATAGCTCTAAATAATATACTCATGTTACTATGTGCATTATTAAGTTTAGATATTATCTTCTTACTTCCTGCTATATGGATGAGGCTTTAGCTCATTACCACCTTCTTCCCCAGACTGTCCCATTTCTTGTATTTAAAATACCAGTTTGTTTCTCTATAAATTTAAATGATCGTTATTTAAACCTTTATTTCTTGTTCCATCAGTTCTGACAGTACCTCATCCCTCTATAAGATACTTTCTCTACCCTCCCATCACTTCCTGTACTTCTTGCCAGCTTTTCTATTTTGTCAAGATCAACTTTTATATTCTGTTCTGTAAGAACGTCTCTGTTTGATTCTTTTTTATCCCTCAAAGTCACCACGGTATTACATCCCCAGGACTCTCTTTATCTTTCAACTGTTAAGTGTGTATCTTTTGACCACCTTCACTCATTTTGTCCATCCCCCAACGCCCCCCACCTCTGACAACCACCAATCTGTTCACTGTATCTATGAGTTCAGTGTGTGTGTGTGTGTGTGTGTGTATTTAAAGATTCCACATATAAGCGACATTATAGTGTTGGTCTGTCTCTCATTTCACTTAGCATAATGCCCTGAAGACCCATCTATGTTGTTGCAAATGGCAGAATTTCCTTTTTTTAATGCCTGAATAATATTCCTGTGTGTGTGCACACGTGCATGTGTATTATACACATTTTCTTTATCCATCTGTTGATGGACACTCAGGTTGTTTGCATGTCTTGGCTACTGCTGATAATGCTGCATTGAACATGGGGCTGCAGACGTCTTCTCAAGACGGTGATCTCATTTCCTTCAGATAAATACCCAGAAGTGGAATTGCTGGGTCATATTTTTAATTTTTTTTCAGGGAACTCCATACTGTTTTCCATGGTGGTTACATCAATTTAGATTCTCACCAACAGGGTTCCCTTTTCTTCATATCCTCACCAACATTGGTTATGTCTTGTCTTTTTGATGACAGCCATTCTAACAGGTGAGAGGTGATATCTCATTGTGGTTTTGATTTGCATTTCCCTGATGATTAGGGAAGCACCTTTACCCAGTTGGCCATCTGTACGTGGTCTTTGGGAAAATGTTCAGGTCCTCTACCTGTATTTTAATAATCAGATTGTGTTTTTTCCTCTACTGAGTTGTAGTTCTTTATATATTATGGATATTAACCCCCTATATACTAGATTTGCAAACCCTTCTCTCATTACATTGGTTGTCTTTTAATTTTGTTAATTTCCTTTGTCGTACAGAGGCTTTTTGTTTGATGTAGTCCCACCTACTTATTTTTGCTTTTCTTGTCTTTGCTTTTGGTGTCAAATCCAAAAAGACACTGCCAACACAGATGTTAAGGAGCTTAACCCCTATGTTTTCTTCTAGGAATATTACTGTTTTCAGGTCTTATGTTCAAGTCTTTAATCCATTTTTAGTTGATTTTTATGTAAGGTGTAAGATAGTTGTCCAGTTTCATTCTTTTACATGTGGCTGTCCAGTTTTCCCAACACCATTTATTGAAGAGGCTGTCATTTTCCCACTGTACATTCTTGGTTCCTGTGTTATAAATGAGTTGACCATATAGATGGGGGTTTATTTCTGGGTGCTCTGTTCTGTCCTACTCATCTGTGTCTGTTTTTATGCTAACACATTACTGTTTTAATTAGTATAAGCTTTGTAATAGGTTTTGAAATCATGAAGTGTGATGCATCCAGCTTTGTTTTTCTTTCTCAAGACTGCTTTGACTATTTGGAATCTTCTGTGGTTCCACATATAAAGCTGGGAATTGTTTCTTCTGTATCTGTGAAAATGCCATTGGAATTTTGATAGGGACTGCACTGACTTAGCTGATTATTTTGGGTATTATGTATGTTTTAACAATATAAATTATTCTCTCAAACAGTAGTGCTAAGAGTATTAAGGTTGGTAGGGTGGTTTTATCCTATAAGGTCATTTAAGGATCTAGGTCCTTTTCCCATTTTATTGTCCCCATCGTCTGGCTCAAGCTGGCTATCTTCTACATTTGCTTCCACCATAATCTTTTCCTACAGACTTGTTCCTTTTTCAGTATTTTCTATTATGGTAAACACCACCACCATCTTCCAGGAAATGTGCAGACACCACGCAGTTTTTGTTTACTTCCCACATTATCAGTCACCAAGTCTTTAGACCAGACTATTCTTAACATTTCTCAGCTGTCCTTGCTACCATTACTTTCTTAGCTCAGGATTTTTACACAGAGATCCTAATTCAATAATTTCCTATCTTTTCTCACTTTTTCAAAAAAGATTTTATTTATGGGGGTGTGAGAGAGAGCACAAGTGGGGGGAGGGGCAGAGGGAGAAGTGGACTCCCTGCTGAGTGGGGAGCCCAACATGGGGCTTGATCCCAGGATTCTGGGGTCATGACCTGAGCCAAAGGCAGCGTTTAACTGACCGAGCCACCCAGGCACACCTCTTTTTTCACTTCTTACACCATTTCAATTCAGATTTCATACGTCTATTTGGGTGATGTTTGTTAAAATCCAAGTCTGATCATACTACCCACCTACCAAAAAACCTTAATGGCATCCTAACAGAAGAGAATGAAGATAAATAGTATGACAAATGCATCATCTGCTCACTATTTACCTGTCTAGTCATAGTTCTTGCTAAATCCTTTCTAGTGTATGTTGTAGCTGTGGAGAGTCTTTTTTTTATCTTACCCTAATGCATCATGGCTTCTCTTTGTCCCTGTGACTTTTCTAACATTGTTGCTTCTGTTTAGAATGGTCTCCCAATTCTCTATTGGATTCCTGGACACAAGTTTCTAAGATTCAGCTCAGGTGTCAACTGCTTTATGAATTGCACTGCCTGAAGTTGTAATGGCATCCTTATTTATAACATCATCCCCTTGACCTCCAGGACCACACTTGACCTCTTCCTTCAAATCCCTACTGTGTCACATATAAATTCCTGCCACAGCAGCCATAACACTTTAATGTACTGGTTTTATGTACCTGTCTCCCTCTACTAGACTTGACTTCCTCTGCTTCAGGGGTTGAGAAGAAATAGGATCCCCAGACTCCTGTAGAGCTACAGATGGCCATCTGACACAAATTTGGCCTCTCCCACGAAGGGCTTTCCTTCTTCAATAAAGCCCCGGGAGGGCAGAGTCCTTAGCTCTTTCCTTTTGTTCCTACACAAAACACAGACACAATGCCGGGAGGTTCGGCAGTCATCTTGTGACCATAAGGCCTGGGGAAGAGAAGGGAGTGTGGGATGTTGATGACACAGCACAGCCAGCTGCCCAGCCTTGGACTGCACACCTCAGGCATCTTGTTCTGAGTCACTTTCTTGTTTAAATCACTGTAGGAGGAGTTTTTGTTACAGCTGAGCTCTATTTCTCTTAAGGCAGTTACCATAGTCTGTAATTACATTAAAAGACCTGTCTCCCCCAAATTAGGCTGGGATCCACGAGGGCAAGGGTCTTGTTATATTCATCTCTGTACTTTTAACACGTAGGATGATACCTGGTATATGGCAGATGCTCAACAAAATTTTATACGTGGGTCACAGTGCAGATGAATATTATTAACATCAATCTTACCCTTGGTGATCATACATATCCACCACGTTAAAAGGAAAAACTACCTTTTCTACCATCTTGTGTATACACATACCAAATCACTGTTAGAAAGAAAACTGCAAAATATTTATTTTGAATCCCTATGCATTTTAGAACAGTCGAGAAACTGCTCATTAAGAACTCCATTATCTCATGATTTGGGGCATCTGTTTACAGTTCCATGGTAGTATGATAAAGTGTTCCGAACCTGGGAACTTTCAATTGAGTATACATTTAAAATACTACCATTACCATAAAAGTTATACAATTCAGTTTTGGAATCTACTAAAAACAGTAACACTAAAAAAATTATTCAAATACCTACATTTACATATGTTGTGTAATGTTATTTACTGGTACAGGATTTAACAGCACATTTAATTTACATATTGATACAAGAGATAATATTTCTGGGTACCCCAAAGAATCTAATGCAGTAGTCAACACAGTGAATGTTATGTTTCTTAAATTTTATAGTTTTTGGTTTTTAACCTAATACTATAGATATATCATCATCTCGTTTTATTCTCACAGCTGCCCTGTAAAGTAGGCACTTTTTTTTTTTTTAAGATTTTATTTTTGAGAGAGAGAAAGAGCAGGCGTGGGAGAGAGGGGCAGAGGGAGAAGCAGACTCCCCATGGAGCAGGGAGCCCGATGAGGGGCTTGATCCCAGGACCCCGGGATCATGACCTGAGCTGAAGGCAGACGCCCAACCAACTGAGCCACCCAGGTGCCCCTGTTCTCTGTTTTAATAGAGATTTAACTTAAGCTCAGAGAGGTTAAGAAATTTGCCCAAAGTCAGTCAGCAAGTTAAAGAAACTAGAGCTTTCTGACTGTACATCTTGTGTTCCATGCTGTCTTTAGTTAAAACTGACCTATGGCTTTTCCCCTAAAAATGTTAGGGTGAGACTCAGATTCTAGAATTTATTAACTTAGGTATACTCAACATTTTTGTGCCTCCTACAGGAAAATGAAGAACCTTATACAATTATGTATACAATGTGTCATCTGTTGAACACTTTCAAGCTAAAAACATTGTTACAGAAACCAATTCCTAAGAGTATTCAACATTTATAAAGTTTCTATTAAGTGCTAGACATAGTTTTGATTGTTTTACTAGAACACAGTCATCTTTTTTTTTTTTTTACATATTGTTTATGGCTGCTTTTCTGCTACAACAGCAGAGGTGAGCAGTTGTAACAGAGACCATGTGACCTGCAAGGCCTAAAATATTTATTATTTGGTCCTTTACAGAAATTGTCTGTCAACTCCTATTCTGGGGAATTAAAGAGAACAAGAGGCTGGTTCTCTGCATATTTTCACAACCTAGAGAGGACAAGGGAAAGGATCACGAATGCAAACATAATTCAGTGTGGTAAGTACAGGCATACCTCCTTTTAATGTGCTTCGCTTTACTGCACTTCACAGATACATATTTTAACAAATGGAAGGTTTGTGGGAACCCGGGATCAAACAAACCTATCAGTGCCATTTTTCCAATAGTATTTGCTCGTTTCATGTCTCTGTGTCACATTTTGGTAATTCTTGCAATATTTCAAACTTTCTTCATTTTACATTTTGGTGATCTGTGATCTTTGATGTTCCCGCTGTAATTGTTTTGGGGCACCACGAACTGTACCCATATAAGATGGTGAACTTAATCGATACATGACATGCGTATTCTGACTGTTCCACTGACTGGCCAGTTCCCTCTCTCCCTCTCCTCCAGCCTCCCTATTCCCTGAGACACAGTATGAAATTGGGCCAATTAATAACCCTACAGTGGCCTTTAAGTGTTCAAGGGAAATGAAGAGTGAGTTGCAGGTTTCTCATTTGAAATGTGGCGGTATGAGATGATAAAACGCTGACACGATGAGGTGCAGTGGGGTGAATGATGTAGGCATGGCCACATAGCATTAGGCTACTACTGACCTGAGGATAGTCAGGAGGAGGATCATCTGAATCTGGACTGTGGCTGACCAAGGGTAACTGACACCGTGAAATGCACAACTCTGGATGGGGGGGGGGGGGGGCGGGGGGGACTACTGTGCTGGCTTGTTGCTGCAGAAGAGAAAACTTCCTAGGCTTACATGGTAAGGAACTTGCTCAAAACCACAGAGCTATTAAGAAGCAGAACCGAGAACTAAAGTTGGGGGGGGGGGGTTGGTGTGGCACCACAGCCCCCCGTATATGTCATGACAAAAACTATTTAATAAGATTGCAGACTAAAAGATCTAAATGGGTAAAAACAAGGAGTTTACAATGGGCTTATCTGTGTCTGAGATTTGGGAAACATTTAAAGAGTGTAACAATTGGCTTCATTACTGAGGTGGTAAGATTTGTGGCTGTATTAATTCTGACAGTGCAGTTCCTCCTTAAAGCAATTCAGAAAGACACTGCTGAGTTCTTTGAGAGTCACCTGTCCTAAAACATTTTTAAAACCAGACTTGCCTATGTTAAATGGAACAGAACTTCGGGGTTCTGAGCAATCATAAAATCTGTGCTTGAGAGTATGGAAAGCTGTCTAGGTTTTATTGGGGTGGGGTAGGGAGTAATTAGAGTGAAAAATGGTTCTACCTGCAAGCATGTACTTGTTTATGCTGAGAAGGGTGACTTCCCAATCTCTGGATCTTATCCACTGGATTCTCCATTCAAGCAGCAAAATCTGTACCACAGACACTTTCAGAATTTGACGATGTTGCTATTTGAGAAGGGTATTTGGTTTTTATCATTAACTGGCTGCTTGATTTTTTAAATATAACACAAATATGTTTAGCAGAGGGCGCCTGGGTGGCTCAGTCGTTAAGCGTTTGCCTTCAGCTCAGGTCATGATCCCAGGGTCCTGGGATCGAGCCCCACATTGGGCTCCCTGCTCAGTGGGAAGCCTGCTTCTCGCTCTCCCACTCCCCCCACTTGTGTTCCCTCTCTCGCTGTCTCTCTCTCTGTCAAATAAATAAATAAAATCTTTTATATATATATATATTTAGCAAAAACATCGATGTTATAAGATGGTCCTCTAAATTTTCTTAAACTGTTTAGTATTTTTTACTCTTTAGAGCAATTGTACATTAAACATTAATAGTTTCACTTCCTTTTTATAAAAGGAAGGTATCTCACATTATCCTACTCACACAGGAGCAGGCAACGTAGAGTTGTCTGAAACAGCTAGGAGTCACCATAATTAGTGCTGCACAATCAGTGGTCCCCTATTTGTCACACGGTTATAGTAGACTTGCTAAGGAGGGAACTTCTTTGACACAGTGAAGCAGAGAAACAATGGAAAACAAAAAAAGCCCAAGTTTCTTTGGATTTCTTCGTCTCAGATACAGCCTAATGTGCTAAACACCACTAATAACAAATGACCATGTATAATAACAACTGAAGTATGCTGGAGGTTTGTTAATCTAGGAAAACAGTAATTAGCATGTTTTAAAACTTGGATTAAATTTTCAATTCACAAGATTTTCATTCTCACATGCCAGAGTACCAACTTTTTCTATTTGTTTAAAAGAATTCTCATTCTCACAGGAAGTTGAGTGGTCATTTTTAATAGCAGTATGTACTTATATAGGGACAGAATATGAACACACACCAGAGTGGATGACACAGTTTTACCTTGTCTACATTCTAAATTATAGCAAACGTAACATCTTTAAAAGAGGAGTAGAAGTAAACATTTAAATATTTCCCTTTTCCCCACACTGGTTTATTTAGAAGTGGTTTTTCTTAGGATTAGGAAACAAGGATACTTCTTAAAATCCAATTATCAATTATATAAATTATAAGGCATTACATAAATTATAAGGAATTTTAGTATTCATATAGAAATGTTGATTTAAGTTAGATAATACATATCCTAACAATATAGGAAATGTTTAACATGATAGTGTATTAATGCTACAGGCAAACTTTCAAAGAACTGTATCTCAACTGACAAACTAGATTTAAAACAAATTACACATATACCAAAATACATGTAGCTGGGAAAAAGAAATGAATTTTGGACTTATGAGAGTCCACTGGCTAATAATACAATTCAAGAGTATCATACCGTGATTAACTCTCTTCTAAGTAATGTGTTCATGAAACGATGCTATTATTCAGGCAGATGAGATTTTAGGAAGATCAGTTCAGTAATAAACAATGAAAATTCCAGATCACTGTCCTATAAGCTCTTGTTTGGCTGCATTAATTGATAATAAAACTTTTCAACAAGCAAGCATTAGCACAGGTGAATAAAAGCATCCAGAATGATAAGATACATTCTCAACTTGCATCACTTAGGAAAGATCATTTTCCCACTGAGGGTTAGAGTTTTAAGACGATGTGTGCTATAAATTTCAAACTATTCATGAGCTAGAAGAGGAATCTGCAAACTATGACCCAGATGTTTGTTTCTGTAAGTGAAGTTTTACTGGAATGCAGCCATGCTTGTCATTTCTGTACGTCTATGGCAGCTTTTTAAAATTATAGTTGACACACAATGTTCCATGAGTTTCAGGTACACAACAGTTATCGGACAACTCTATACGTCATGGTTTGCTCACTGCAAGTGTAGCTACCATCTGTCACCATACAACCCTATCACAATGCCACTGACTATATTCCTTTGCTGTACCTTTCATCCCCATGACGTATACGTTCCATAACTGGAAGCTTGTACTCTGATTCCCCTTCACCCATTTTGCCCATCCTCCTACCCCGTCCCCTCTGACAACCACCAGTTTGTTCTCTGTAATTATGGGTCTGTTTATGCTTTTTGTTTTGCTTCTTAGATTCCACATAAGTAGAATCATATGGTATTTGTCTTTCTCTGATTTCACTTACCATTATACCCTCTAGATCTGTCCATGTTGTTGCAAATGGCAAGATTTCTTTCCTTTTTATGGCTGAGTAATATTCCATAGCGCGCACACGTGTGTGTGTGTGTGTGTGTGTATTTCATCTATCTATGGACACTAGACTGCTTCCATATCTTGGCTATTCTAAATAATGCTGCAGTAAACATGGAAGTGCACATACCTTTCCGTATTAGTGTTTTACTCTTCTCTGGGTAAATACCCAGTAGTGGAATTATTGGATTGTATGGTATTTCTGTTTTTAATTTTTCTAAGAAACCTCCATACTGTTTTCTACAATGGCTGTATTGATTTACATTCCCACCAACAGTGCACAACAGTTATTTTTTTCCATGTCCTTGACAACACTTGTTATTCCTTATCTTTTTGATACTAGCCATTCTGACTGGTATAAGGTATTCTTATCTCATTGTGGCTTTGATTTACTTTCTCTAATGATTAGTAATGTTGAGCATCCTTTCATGTGCCTCTTGGCCATCTATATGTGTTCTTTGGGAAAATGTCTATTTGATTATTTGGGTGTTTTTGGTGTTGAGTTGTAGGTTTATATAATTTGGATATTAACCCCTTACTGAACATATTATTTGTAAATCTCTCATTTGGTAGGCTGCCTTTTCATTTTGTTAATAGGGTCTTTCACTGTGCAAAGGCTTTTTATTTTGGTGTAGTTCTGTTTATTTTTGTTTCCCTTAGAAAAATGTTGCTAAGGCCAATGTCAAAGAGATTACTATTTTTTTTTTCTGGGAAATTTATTTTAGGTCTCACTTTCAGGTCTTTACTCCAGTTTGAGTTTATTCTTTGCACTTGATGTAAAAGTGGTCCAGTTTTACTCTTTTGTTTGTAATTGTGCAGTTTTCTTGTCATCATTTATTAAAGACTTTTCCTCATTGTATATTCTTGCCTCCTTGGTCATAGATTTACTGACCATATTAAGCATGGGTTTGTTCCGTTGCATTGAACAGAATGTATGTATTTCTGACATACTGTTTCATTATAGCTTTGTAGTATATATCTTGAAATCAGGAGTTGTGATGCCTCCAGTTTTTTCTTTCTCAAGACTGCCTTGGCTATTCAGGTTTTCTGTGATTCCATACAGATTTCAGTACTTGTTCTAGTTTGTCCACTTCTCTATCACAGAAGTCGGTTTCACACTCTTGCTTGGGCTTCTTCCTCCTCTGCTGCTGCTACATTTCCCAGGATGCTTCTTGACCCTGCATTTTAACCTGTTTCACGTGTGTCCTTTCCCTTGTCTCTTCTCCCCAGTTTTACATAATGTTTTTCATGTACTTCTTTTCATCTTATAGGTTGTTATTTAACAATCTATAGTAGGTTATTTTTTTTTACTTTAGTGTTTGTTTTGTATTTTAATATTCATTTAGATTTATTCACATACTCATTTCTTGGTTATAATCCTTCTTGCATCTCAGTTTCTCTCTTTGGGTTTAATTTGTTTCTTCCTGAAGTGCATCCCAATCTTCACTTGTTACTCAGGGTGCTGACCACTTCTGGGCTTGGAACAGCCTTGGATCAGCTCCTACCTTTTCTAACAAAACTCTTTTGCTCATCTTGGGGAATGTTTTCTTCTTCAACCCCATCCCCTCTGCTTTCTGTGTCTCAGGATTCATTACAATTTCTTCTCTAATGAACCGCTTCTTATATTTCAAAGCAAGTATTGATTCATTCATTTTAAAAACCACTTTTCTGTCATAGGAGGGCAGAAAGGGGATACCATGGCATGTGTTCATACCTCAATCTTGAAGTGGAAGTTCCACATGTATTCATCTTTTTAAAAAAATCACTAGCTCAAAAAAAAAAAAAAAAATCAGGCCAAATAACTTTTACCTACAGAAATAAACGTGTTTCATTTCTCATAACTGTCCCTGACTATAATTCTGCTAGGGAAAGAACATGGACTTAGGAGCCATAATTCTGGAACAAATCTCACTTTGACGTTTGGTAGATACTTAACCTCCCTGAGCCAAATGGTTTCCTTATCTATAATATGAAGATGATTATACCTATGTATTTGGGTTGACAGAAATTAAAGGAGATAATATAAACAAAGTGCTTAGTACATATTATGTTCTCCACAGATGAATTAAATGTTTTTAATTCCCACTTGTGTCATAAACTTCATCTTCCATTGCATGAAATTGAAAACAAAAACTTGGCCAGTAAGTGATCTAGCATATCACATAGTTTGATTTTGAATATTCTAGTTACCCTCTTTGTCTTTGTGGTTTTTCTTTTTACCCCCATTAGTTGTAATCATACTGAGTTTTTAACTTTGTTTACTTTGGCTTTTTTCCTATACTAACGCTATACCAGCTGGATAATATATTAAAAATGTCAATTTGGTAAACTTTTCAAACTAAGTACTTTTAAAATGAATTCATAATAATCCATAAGGATTCAAACTTTTGATAAAAGGCAGAACCAGATTTCATAATACAGACATTGATTGTAACGAAGTGCTCTGGAACAGCCTTATTTTAGCAACTAAGGATTTTTGGAAGAGCACAATCAATTTCCAAAACAAATATTTGGCTAACAAAACTGTAGGGTATCCATTAAAGAAGCTTATGCAATAATAAAAAATCAAAGTAATTTTGAAAAAAAGAACTAAATTTTACTATGCCACTTTCATAAAGGTTAAAAAAACCCTTTCATCTAAAATAACAGCTCTGCATGGGTACAATTGATCTGCCATTAACAGAGCCATCTCTGAATGTCACTTAGCTTCCAAAATCAAGGCTCAGACACAAATAAAAGAAAAAATAAGCTAGTTAAAAGTCAAACAACTCAATCAATAATGTAGCAACAGTGTATATAATTACAGAGACCCTTCTAAGAAAATCTATTAGGGCCTAATGTACATGCAGATCAAGGCAGAAGATTCTTTAACAATGGAATCTTACAGTCATGTCTCAATGACCTGGAGCAACATGCTTTGGAAATAAGGATTACCAACGATGATTTGGGACTTCTCTAGCGTAACAATAATTGCTTTGTCCTGTGAGGAAAGAGAGGCTTATCAGAAAGAAATACAGAGCCTTGCGATAGGGCTAAAAAGAAAGAGCCTGCTTAGGAGCATCTCATTTAATGATCAGAGCCTAAGCTAAAAAGGATTCTTTTTGCTTAGGAGCATCTCATTTAATGATCAGAGCCTAAGCTAAAAAGGATTCTTTTTTAGCTTTTTTAACTAGGTTTATATTAGGTTTTTATTTTCAGAGACCAAAACAGATGGGTAGAATCATATCAAAGGTGGAGGAACAAATCTTGTTTTATCTTTTATTCTGACTTATGAATTTGTATTTTGGGCTGTAATTGACATAAAATTTGTATTAGTTTATGATTTGATACATACATATATTGCAAAATGATTACCACAATAAAGTTAACATCTATCGCCTCCTCCCAGTTTTTTTCTTGTGATGAGAACTTTTAAGATTTACTCAGTAATTTTCAAATATATAAGACGGTATTATTACTGTTTCTTTTACTATATACTTAGCAGACAGGTTGAGGCCAGGGGAATTAAGTCCATGCTGAGGAACGGAGCTGAGTAGCGAAGAGAAATCAGATCCTGGTAATATGACTTAAGCACAGGGTCAGGCGGTGTGCGGCAACTGTACTTATGTGAGTCAACAAGATCTCTTTACTGTTTAAGCCTATCTGAGCTGGGTTTAGTTACATGCAATATAAAGAATTCTAACTAATAAAATACTGGAATTACATAAATCTTTAACAAACTGTAAATCAATACTTGTAGCCTGTGACAACCAGTTTTTAATATGGTAAGCAAAAATATTCTCCCAGGGATGAAATGATCCAGTAGTTTTCGAAGGTACTTTCTTTTTTTTTTTTTTTTTTTTGAGGAGAAAAAAAGGTTTTTTTTATTCTGAGCTTCCCATAGCAAGGGAGTCAGCCACCAAGCCTTGCATTCTGGCAGACTCAAAGGCAGGTGGGGCAAGTGGAAACAGAGTAGTGATAAAAGGAAGACTTCCGGAAGCTGTCAGCTTTAAAAAAAATCTTTTCATGGGTGTGGGGGAGGAGTAAGACAGAGTGACTAGAAATCTTTGTGAGCACATCCTACCACAGATTCTGGGTCCACTACAGTGGCCAAGAATAATATTTTCATTTGTTTTAGCTTTGGGAGAACCACATCATTCATATTAGTATAATGTATAGTATCTAAAAATTACTGTTGATTTATACCCCCTCTCCCAAAATAAAAACCCAACCCCAAACCAGTGACAACCATACACTTAAAGAAATTCAGTAATGGTGTTTAACATGCAGCTATGGGGAAAAAACCCAGTTTTAGAGAACCTGAACTGCTTTCAGAACAGTTTCAATCTTTAAAAAAATTATCAATAAAGAGTTAAGAGACAAACGTGCTAACCTTCTTTCCTAATTTTTTCTAAATCCGAGAAGCATAAAATCCTCTTCAGTCTTAGTTAAAATAAGAGCTATTTATTGATCATTTATGTGTCAGGTACTGTGGCAAAATGCTTTATATACATTTACTCATTTAATTTCTGTATCTTTCTTCCTTTGGCAGGACTTATTTTAAAATCCCAAGTGACTTTCTAGAGTATGCTGTGAAATGATAAGCCTGGGATTAATATTGGTGCCTTGTTTTATAAAGATTTGTCTTCCATCATTTGCAGGTTCCATCTAATACAGCTAGAATGATTGCAACTGACTGGTTTGTTGAGACTGGAATCTGAACTCCATCTAAGAGTTAACACTAGGCAATTCCAAACTTACCAGGACCCCAAGCATATCAAGACACCAGATGACTTGGAGGGCCCTTATTTACAGCAAACAGCCCCTAATAATCTCACTCGGTATGTACTACAGAAAATGAAGCTTACACATTTCATACTAGGTGCCAGGTTCACAGACCATACTTTGAGTAGCCCATTAGTAGTACAGGACATTATCTACGTCACTAAGTACAATGCTTAGTTCAGCCAACTTTTTTTCATAGCAAGATATTCTTGATGAAGGAGACTTGACTGATTTAGATTCTAGCCCAAGCTCCTTACCCATCATGAACTGGTAACAGTTTGTGGACCAGCTATTTGGAATAACACTTGTTCTAGACCTCAATTTTAAATATTGCCTCTAGTCTTCTGTCCCTGATGCCACACACAATTTAACTGACCAACCAAATACTTAGCATAAACAATGGAAAAAACAATAAAAATTAGCAATTTGAGTATCAAAAAAATAATAGGACACCTAGGAATAAATCTAACAGAAAAGGTGAAAGACCTGTACTCTGAAAGCTATAAAACTGATGAAAGAAACCGAAGATGACACAAAGAAATGGCAAAACATCCCATGCTCATGGACTGGAAGGACAGATATTGTTGAAATATCTATACTACCCAAAGCAATCTACCCATTCAATGCAATCCCTATCAAAGTACCAACAGCATTATTCACAGAGCTATAACAAAGAATCCTAAAAATTGTATGGAACCACGAAAGACCCCAATTAGCCAAAGAAACACTGAAAAAGAAACACAAAGCTGGAGGCATCCACAATTCCAGACTTCACGTTATATTACAAAGCTGTAGTAACCAAAACAGTATGGTACCGGCCCCCAAATAGACACACAGATCGATGGAACAGAACAGAAAACACAGAAATGAACCCACAACTATATGGTCAATTAATCTTCAACAAAGCAAGAGAGGATATCCAATGGGAAAAAGACCGTGTCTTCAACAAATGGTGTTGGGAAAACTGGACAGTAACATGCAAAAGAAACCAGACCACTTTATTATACCATACACACAAAATCAATTCAAAAGGGATGAAAGACCTAAATGTGAGACCTGAAACCATAAAAATCCTAAAAGAGAACACAGGCAGTAATTTCTTTGACATTGGCCATAGCAACTTTCTAGATATGTCTCCTGACACAAGGGAAACAAAAGCAAAAATAAACTATTGGGACATTAAAATAAAAAGCTTCTGCACAGCAAAGGAAACCATCAACAAAACTAAAAGGCAGCCTACAGAATGGGAGAAGATATCTGCAAATGACTTAACTGATAAATATCAGTCAGTATCCAAAATATATGAAGAACTTATAAAACTTAAAACCCCAAAAACGAATAATCTGACTAAAAATGGGAAGACCATGAGCTGACATTTTTCCAAAGACGACATCCAGATGGCCAACAGACACATGATGGGTGATGTTAAACATCTTTTCATCAGGGAAATGTAAATCAAAACTATAAGGAGATATCACCTCACACCTGTCAGAATGGCTAAAAAAAACAACACAAGGAACAGCTGTTGGCGAGGATGTGGAGAAATGGGAATCCTTGCACACTGTTAGTGGGAATGCAAACTGGTGCAGCCACTCTAGAAAACCATATGGAGGTTCCTCAAAAGTTAAAAATACAACTACCCTATGATTCAGCAATTGCACTACTAGGTATCTACCCAAAGAATACAAAAATACTTAATTCAAAGTGATACACCCCGATGTTTACAGTGGCATTATCTGTAATAGCCGAATTATGGAAACAGCCCAAGCCATCAACTGAAGAATGGATAAGGAAGACACACACCCACACAGGAATATTAGCCATAAAAAGAATTAAATCTTGCCATTTGCAACAATATAGATGGTGTTAGAGAGTATTATGCTAAGTGCAATGAGAGAAAGACAAATACCATATGATTTCACTCATTTGTGGAATTTAAGAAACAAAACTAAAACGAGCAAAGGGGGAAAAAAAAAGGCAAACCAAGAAAACAGACTCTTAACTATAGAGAACAAACTGATGGGTTACCAGAAGGGAGGAGAGTGGGGAGGATGGGGGAAATAGGTGATGGGGATGAAGGAGCGCACTTGTTGCGATGAGCACCGGGTACTGTATGCAAGTGTTGAATCGCTATATTGTACACTTGAAGCTAATATTACACTGTGTATCAACTAAGTGGAATTTTAAATAAAAACTTAAACAATTAGCAGTTGACCTCACCTTTGACAGAAGCAATTTCACACAGGAAACATGCCCTTCATAGACAGCAGACAGAAGAGGGGTAATATGATGTTTATCTGGAGCCTATGAAATAATGAGATAAAAAACCACTTTATTTTTCATTTCTCCCTTCTTTCTAGATTTATTTAGAGAATTATCAATGTTTCCCTACTCAAGTTTCCTGCCATTTAGAGAGCTGCCAAGACCCAAACCCATAAGCCGTATCTCCTTGGGTATCAGTGCAGTGAAGTAGAGGGTGCAGGGCTTTGACCTCAGCTCAGCCCTTGACTCCGCCACTTACTGTACTATTTAACCTTTTTGAGCCCCAAGTTCCTCACTATTGTAGGAATGCCAGTGAGGTCTAGGAAGGGAAGAGGTGGGTACAAATTAGCCGCTGAAGAGGTAAAAGACTGCCACAATGGGGCCAGGTGACATGGTGTCCCCTGAAATGTGTAAAGTGGATTGCACTTGCTGTCATGGTTAAACATTTGTCCAAAACTCTGAAAAGCTATAAAAGGCAAGAGGCAGGAGATGACTGCTCCTGTCTGACCTTCTGCCTATTGACCTTTCTCCAAAACTGCAGTTTGGATTTATCCTATCACTGCAGAGTCCTATCCTCCGCTGCAAGACAGCAATTTGTTACCTATAGTTAGTTTTAAAAAGTCTGTTTGTTGGGGCGCCTGGGTGGCTCAGTTGTTAAGCGTCTGCCCTTGGCTCAGGTCATGATCCCAGGGTCCTGGGATCGAGCCCTGCATCAGGCTCCCTGCTCTACCGGAAGCCTGCTTCTCCCTCTCCACTCCCCCTGCTTGTGTTCCCTCTCTCGCTGTGTCTCTCTCTGTCAAAAAACTAAATAAAATCTTAAAAAAAAAAAATGTCTGTGCTGCTTATTTAAAAAAAAAATTCCAGTTATATATTTCTAAGTTACAGGAAATTTGGTATAATTTCAGACTATATTCTTATTTTACAAGTCTGTAGAAAATAATTACCCAAGGCATACAACAGGATTTTTTTCTAAGATGAGAATGTTCTTTACATACATTAATATCTGCTCCTTTCAGCAGCAGAAATTCCAGGATTTCAAGCTGCCCACAGTCTGCTGCATAATGAAGAGGCTTCCTTCCACCTTCTAGTGTCCGGTTGACATCTTCCCCCTTATAAGAGAAGCCAAATGAAAATGATATTTAGATGGATGGTAGACTGAAGATGGGACATGAAATACCCAGTATTTTCCCCTTCTTAAGGCGTAAGAGTTTCATGAAACAATTACATTTTCTGCGAAGTGAAATAAGTAAACAAGAAGTTGAAATTAAATTCTGCACAGTAGCACACACATTGTACGAAGGTAATTCAATCATGACTAGTCAAACTAAAGACAAAAGACAAAATGCTAACTGTCATGAAATACGTTACTGTGCTCTATTTCTAAGGAGTTCAGTCAGCATAAAGTCAAGATGTGGCCACAGAAGACTGTAAGTTCACATACTGAGAGTTTATGCTGATCACAGGACATGTATTGAAATTCAAGGAAAAGCATCATGACTTCGAAGGAAGGAGACATCATTATCACAAGGTAGTAGTATTGCTACTAAGAATCATTTCCTTCACTTAACATTTATTAAAGCCCTGCTATATGGCAGGCACGGTGCACACAGACAAAGGTGAACAAAATCAGACGTGGTTTCTGATTGCAGGGAGCTAACCACCTTGTGTGGGGAGGCAGATATTAATCAAATAATCACATAATTAAACAATGTCAAAATATAACTGCTATAAAGGAAAGGAACTCAATGCTGTACAAATACTTATCAGAAGAATAGGACTTAATCTTGGTGATGGATGGGGAGTGGGTCATGTTAGAGAATGAACTCAAGGCCTCAAAAAAAGTTTTCATTCATTGAGAAGATTCTAACAATAACCAATACAACCAGCCACTATGGATTTGGTACTGTGCTAGACACATAAGCTCTCATCTTTAAGCCAACCTAAAAGGAGAAAATCTCCACTTAATAAATGAAAAGTCTGAAGCTAAAAGAAGTTAACTAACTTTTTACTGTGGCTTAGTAACAAGTGAGATCTAAACTCATATTGCCTCCAATTCAGTATTTGCCCATCTTTCTTAAGCAAAGTTCAGATTTTTAGAGTAACAACATGTCTGAAGGAACTTACTTTCTTAACTACTATTCACTTATCTTAGTTTGGTCAATTCATCAAGCCATATTCTGAATCAAGATGCTCAAAACCCTATCATTCCATGGCCATTATATGGATATAGAAGAAAGGTGTACAACATGCTTAAAGTCACTGGAGATGAAGTTGAAGCTCCAACTCTACTACTAATTTGTGGGACCTTCGACTGGTTATTTTCCAAATCTGTTTCCTCATCTGTAAAATGTGAATAAAAACGCTTAGACCTCACAGGTTTTAGTGCATCACTAAGCTACTCCATGCAAAGTACTTAACATAGTTTCTGACACTAGCACTAAAAGACTATCCAAAATTGAGTTAAGGCAGGTTTCAGCATAATGGCTGAAATTCAAAGGTATGATTTAATGTAATATACTTGCTATTCAGAAACGAATTTATAGTAAGGGCAACTCGGTGTGCCTCTGTAGCCTTTATTCACAACTGCACAAGTGAGAGGCTTTGAGGCAAACGGAGATACTGCTTCAGCGATTCTCAAACGTTAACTAGTTTTCCTTACATTATTAATATTTCCTTTCCATTATTAATATTAACCAGAGAGCATTAACTGGATAGGTGCTTTTTTCACGGAAAAGAAAGTATTGCTTGTAG